TTTTGGCGAGTGTTATAAACATGTCCATCTCTTACATAAGTTATTCTACTGTGCAAATAACTAGGTAAGAGCAAATTTTTTATTTTATATATAAATTGTAACGTTCTTAACAAAATTCGTTGTTTTATGTTTATAAAATTTAATGCATTTAACATGTCCTGTATTGGAGTATATCTACTACACTGCAAAATAATCCTCATAGCTTTATTCTGCGTTTTCTGTAGAGTCTGAATCTCATTGTTATTTAAAAATAATAAAATTGTTGAACAATATTCAAAATGTGGCGCAATTATCGTTTTATAAATGGTCAGTCTGGCAAAAAATGATAAATCCTTAGATATACGCCTTAAGAAATTAATTTTTTTGGCAACTTTTTTAACAATATATGCGGTATGTTGTTTAAAACACATACATTCATTCAACATCACACCCAGATATTTTATCTGATGGACTCTTTCTAGTTTCTGGTTATTTAATTTAATATAATCCTCTATCGAAATTTTATTCAATGTATGTTTTTTGCCTAATACTAACCACTTACATTTATCAATATTTACTTTCAAATTATTGTCACAAAGCCATGCATATAAATTATTTAGTTCCCCGTTAATATTTCTTATAATATCATTAACATTTTTACCAAACATATAAAGCATTGTGTCATCTGCAAACACATGTATTTTGCAATCAGTTAAACAACAGAGAATGTCATTGATGAAAATAATAAATAATATAGGACCCAATACTGAGCCTTGAGGTACGCCATATTTAGTTTCCTTTCTTCCAGATACTCTCTCACTATATTTTGTTTTTGGTCCTCTTTTTGTTATGTAAGATGAAAACCACTGCAAAACATTTCCTCCAATTCCAATACTTCTTAACTTCGAGAGAAGAAGACCTCGATCAATGGTTTCGAATGCACGTTTAAAATCTAGAAATACAGCCACTACTATATTATCATTATCAATTCCCCGTACCCAGTCGTCCAAAATACACTGTAATGCAGTTTCACATGAATGTGCTCCTCGGAATCCTGATTGTACTGATATGATGATATTATTGTTTTGTATGTAATTTATTAATTGTTCTTTAACTACCAATTCCAATACTTTTTCACAAACTGGCAATGAATTGATTGGTCGATATTGGTCACATAAAATAGTATTAATAACTTTTGGTATAGGTGTAACAAATGAATTAGTCCATGCATCTGGAAAAACGCCCGACTGAAGAGAACAATTAACCACATCCAAAAACCTGTTGCCGATGATTTCAAATGTGTCTTTAATAACATTTGTGGGAATCCCATCACATCCTGATTTATTTGGTAATGCATCAATAACTTTTCTCAATGCATTCATTTCTATGACTTTAAATTCGCGTAATCTACAATCAACTCCAAAATCATGACTTGTGTACAAATCAAACTTTGGTATATCATGAATAATCTCTACCACACTCTCTATAAAATAGTCATTAAATTTTTCTGCAATCTCCAATTCATCCGATACTTCTTGTTCATTAAATTTAATACATTTAGAAACATGCTGTTTCCCTTTATTCATTTGTTTCAATGTTTTCCACATCAACTTCGAATCACCTTTACAATGGTCTATTTTGTTTTCATAATACTGTTTTTTCTCTTTTCTTATCATTGTAACTACCTTATTCCGCTTTTCTTTGAATGAATTCCATTCCTCTTCTCTTCTTGTAATTCTAGCTGCTTCATAGTGTCTATCTCGTTCTTTCATAGCCACTAAAATTTCTTCTGTAATCCACATTTTATTTGCATATTTGATTGGAACTACAATTTCCTTTATGGGACAAACATTATTAAGACTATTTTTAATACAGTTAATTAAATTTTCCGTCAACACATTAATGTTTGCACTGTCATTGTTCCACTCAGTATTAATTAAAATTTCTTGTAGGGCATCCTTGTTATAGTTTTTAAAACTTCTGTAACATTTCTTTATACGATATGTGTTATTATTACTCTTTACTGGAAAATGTATGGTTATGTAAGCATGATCCGTTATCTTTGGTGTATGGTGCACTTTATGTGTTATAGTATCACAATTAGTTATTAGCAGATCAATCAAAGTTGCAGTGTTCTGTGTAATTCTAGTTGGTTCCCCTACTAACTGTATAAATCCATTTTCCATAATAATTCTCGATAACTGTGTTGAATAACATGTGTCCCTCAACATATCTATGTTAAAGTCTCCTGTTATAATACTGTCTATATTACTAGAGCTGTATTCTTCTATCAGACTCTCCAAATTGTTCCAAAAATCCGCTGTACTTGCACTTGGCGAATGATATATCCCTATTATATTATAATTGTCCGTATTTATTTGCAGTTGCACTCCCACACACCAAAGATTGTTTTCGACTGTAAAATTTTTTATATTGTAGAAGGACATTTCATTTTTAATATATAATATAACTCCTCCTGTGTGTGTGCTATTGGAGTAACAAATTTCTAGTTTATAACCATCTATTTCAATTTCAGATATCTGTATATCATTTGTAACGTGAGTCTCTGTTAAACAAACTACATTTGGTTGTAAAGTATGTATAAGTAGTTCTATTTCCTCTTTATTATGTAGAAAGCCTTGTGTGTTCAAGGTTAAACATTGATGTTTACGATGATGTATTCTAATCTTTGAAATTTGCTAATTGCTATTGATCATCCAAATAATCAATTTTCCTTTTGATGCTGTTTAATATTCTTATATAGCAAGGACATTTTGGATCTAATGCATTATGATTATCTTTTATCTTTATTTTATACTTTTCAATTGCATTGCTACAGTTTATGCACTTATTATTTCTGGCTTTACATTCTCCTGTATGTTCTCCAATGAACATTTATAACATATATTGTTATTTTTACAGTCCTTGGCCATATGGTTGAAGCCAAAACACTTAAAACATCTAACAACATGAACATAATCATAAGCTTTGCCTCTCGACCATCCTATAAAAATTTTGCCCTTGTTTAACAGTATATTATGTGTCTTTGAGTCAGCTTCTAGTATTAATGTAATTTCTCTATTTGCTTTTTTATCCTTTTTATTATTTTCAAATGAAATCCTTCTTCTGATCCATGTTCTGTTAAATTTTGATCTTTTATTGCATTCAAGAGATTGTCATCTGTGTCATCGTCTTCCTCATTTACTCCAATAATTTTAATTCTTGGATATTTCAAATTTGGTTTTCTAATATCATTCAGATAATGATAATCAATAATTCAGATGATGATAATCTAATATAATTCATTCTAATATCAATCAGACAAGTGAGACTAATCATTTCCTATGTTTTCGAAGTCGCTAAATCATAAATTGGTCAGTTCGATAGTATCGTATCACTTTCCAATCCTAACCTCAAAAGATATTGAAAAATCATAACTTTTTTCATACCACAAATTAAATCATTAGAGACTAGTTGTTTCTAATGTTTTTGTCGGTTCAACAGTATTATGCCCGTTCCGATCCTAATCTCAAAAAAAAAAAAATGTTAATCCTCGTACCTTTTCAAACTAAACTCCAAAAAGACTTGAAAGTAGTTGTTTTTCCTACCAAATCATGTAACAATTTAACCATCATTATTGATACAAGTTCTTGAGTAATATTGAAAGATATCAACTATCATACCACCATGTCGGTTCCTTCGTCAGTCGTTTATTACTTTTTTGTTTGGTTTCCCGGGTACAAATGCCACTGATAAATCAAGATTGAAAAATTCGAAATATTCGCGGGATTTGATCCCATGACCCCTTGAATGACGTTGGTTTAGAGTAAACCACCTTACCAACAGAGCCAAGGACCGCTCTGACCTCGAAAACATAGAAAAAAATTGCTCTTTTAAGATTCAATTCATAGTATGAATGAAAAATCGCAATTTTTAATTTTTTTTGGGGAAGGTGTCCAGTGGCACCCGGTTGGGAATTTCTTGCAATATGATATTATTGAAACGACTTGGTAACCACAAAAACATGAAAAACGAGTCTCTTAGGATTAACTAAAGTCTTGATTTAATTTTTTTTTAAGGTGAATAGAATATATAGGATAAGATAGAATAAATAGAAAGTAAATGTTATTTTCAAACAAATTCAAAAAAAGAAATAACGTAATAACATGACATTGTACTATCGAATTGATTTAAAATTATGATTCAGCGACTTCAAAAACATAAGAATCGACTAGCGTCATGATTTTCCAATTTTTATTTTTTTTTGAGGTTATATAAAAACTGCCATCTTGAATCATCTGAAAATAACAAGATTTATGAACAGCAATCTCAAAAGTCCTCATTAAAGGCATTTGGAGATGGATTTATCAGTAATATGTTCACTGGAGGGAGTTTATTGGATGAATCCAAATTTTTTTTACACTTGCAGGTGCCACATAACATCTTAAAGTACTTGGAAGAACTAATTTTTGTACACCCAAAACCATTTATTAAGTGTCTTCACATTTTGGCGAGAGCCGTGATCGATTTAACGTGAAACGTCCTAATATACATTATATAATTTATGCATTTCTAAAAGAAATTACATCATGATACAAGTTCCCTCTTATTATTTTTATGGAATTATGTGAAAATATTGACCATTTCCCATAATTCTCAACTACACAAAGCATTATTTTATTTATAATGTCAAATTAATCAAATTTTTGCTAACAGTTACCTATTAAATCATATGTATGTTGGTTACTATTAATAAAATGATTAATTACTTGCAAAAAACATTGCAAACACAACAAAATAACTGCAGAAAAGCTTCATACAATTCGGACAAACTGTTTTTGAGTTACCTGGAAAAAAACTAAAATTTTTGCCCTCTAGCAGCTAAATTAAGCATTTGTATAGGAGTACATTTAGTCAAATCTCCTTAATTTGGCTCCAAGAATTTGTGATAGTTCCATGTACGTAGAATATGGGTACGCCCTGTATATTTAGCAACAAAAATATGAAATAAAAAGACTTACGTATAGCACTTTGAGGTGGGTAAAAACGTAATAACACATTCCTCGATCCTGGTATTTTAGAGGATGGTTGATTAGGATTCCTTTTCCAGTGCTTCATTATGTGAGAGAATGATAACTGCATATGTTCATCGACACTCTAGAAGTATTATTATATCAAGAAACAAGAAATGTTATAAAATCTGTATCTTACTGTTAGATTAAAATGTTTTGTGTTAAAGAACATTAGCGTGCTTAGTAAAACATGGGGAGAATGAGCTCCCAATTGTTTACTTTCCCATAAGTGTTCTTCTTCCACTCGGGTGACGATATAATGAGAGTCATTATAAAGAACTGAAAATTTTTTAGCCACTTCATCTAAACAATCCGTAAATTTTTCATAATATGAATCACAGAAAATATTATCAATTCGGCCATTCTCAAAGAGATACTGCTGAATGCCTAAACATAAGTAATAAATGGTGTCGGGGGCATATTCAGCACCGTTGGGTTTCCTTACTTCTTTTACAAATAAACACAAGGAATAGTTAAGTTCATCTGCGGTCAATTGTAAAATTTCCGTTTTGAACAGCATTACACATCTCGATGATTTTTCCAGTTCTGCATTCTTTGTTGTCACCCACTGCTTCCATGCATTCACTCCAAACGTATACTAAAAAAAAAACAATTGTGTTTGTAAGCCAGAGTTGCAGGATATACAGGGTGTTCCACCTAAAAGAGATTCTTCTGTAACTCTGTAACTGTAAAATTTATAAATAAATGGCTTTAATAAAAGTTGTCTGGAATCATGTGGAGCATGTAAAGAAAGTATTTTTAGCTTTACAGGATATTCCATTTCGCATGTGCGTTACATAACTTTACTATTTTAAATAGAACACTCTATATATTACTCCATTTTTTAATTCTCTGGTTAATTTTAGGTAGAGTTTATTAAATGTACAGTGTTTAAATCTTACCGTTTTCAAGATATTCAGTTGCTTTTGAAAAAAATCACGATTTCAACCCTCTAAATGAGGCTAGATAGCGTCTAAACCATAAGAGATACAAACCTGCAGTTTTCACAGTTCGTTTTGGCATAAAGTACTCTATCTTGTCTTCTGTGAACAAAATGTGTACGTTATTCAGACTTGGAAATACTGAGACCTACATTTAATAATCTTACAAGTTGAAAAACTTTTTTTTTCAAACAGACTGATCCGTATTAATTGTCATGGGTGAATGCAAAATTGAATACCTTTTCGACTGATATAAGGTTGTCCATACTTATGTCTAACATTTTCCAGAAAAATCAGGTTCTTTGTTAGTCTGAAAAAGTAGCTATGTAACAGCGTCAAGAAGGCCTTGCAAACAATGTTTATTGCACTGTTTGATATACAAAGCAAAATAAATGTCACTCTAGTTTTGATTAACGTTGACGTTGTAGTTATTTTGCTAACTAGGAGAAGGTAAGGTAATCGGATTTTTATAATTTTTGATATTTATGGTATGTGTAGTTTGGACCTTGAATAAGAATTTTCTGAAGTAGTTCGACGCTACATTCATAAATTACCGAGATAATTGATTTTGAAGTTTTACCTGTCAGCTAAATCCACTAGATGCGACACATTCTTCAACTGGGAGCGTGGCCTAGTTGGTAGCTTTTGGGATTTCATTTGTTCATAATTTTCGAGATAAAAAAATAAAAGGAAAGAAAGCTAGAAGCTTAAAAAATTTCTGCTTCCCATTTTTCTATGATAACTGCCATTCTGGTTCGTGCCACATTGCGTAAAATGTCAAATAAACATAAATATAAAATAAATGAACATCCTACCTGACCTCGTTTGTTTTTTTTTAATGAAACATTGTTAATTCATAATAAATAGTTTATCAACCAATTGTGCATTTAATGAAATATTTGAAGAATATTCCTACATATACATAAGTAGTTATTATAATATTTCGTTCATAATTTTCGAGATGAAGAAAATTATAAAAAACCATATGGTGCGTTTTGAAAAAAAAAAAAATGGCACATGACGGACTCGAACCAGCGATCTCCTGACTGTCAGACCCGAATGCTACCAATTAGGCCACGCTCCCAGTTGAAGAATGTGTCACATCTAGTGGATTTAGCTGTCAGGTAAAACTTCAAAATCAATTATCTTGGTAATTTATGAACATTGGGTCGACCTACGTCGAAAAATTCTTATTCAAGATCCAAACTACACGTACCATAAATATAAAAAATTACAAAAATCTGATTACCTTACCTTCTCCTTGTAAGTAGAGAGTAAAAGTTTATTATAATATTTTCGAAATGTCGCTGACACAGGAAGAAATGATTGACATGGTTTTTGTCCTCGGTGAGTGTGACAGAAATCCGTTATTGGCATCACAAATTTATGCTCAGCACTATCCAGACAGACCACATCCACAGCGTAAAGCCATTCAACTAGTGCTTGATAGGTTTTTAAATAACAAACGGAGAAAAATGAATTTTTTGTGCTGGGGTGTATTCAGAAAAAGAAAGTAAGTGTGAGACAAATTAGTCAATCAACGGGTATTAGTACAACGTCGATACATAGGATTTTACAAAAGCACAATTATTATCCTTATCGCATCCAATTACATCAAGAGTTACTAGAAGTACAATTTCAGTGGAAACTGGAGTTTTGTCAGTGGGCACTTGAAATGTTAAATCAAGATGATTTTTTAAAATGGGGGTCATGTTCTCCGATTAGGTCACTTTTCATAAAAATGGTTTCATCATGATTGCTATTATTGTGACACAGTAAATCCTCACCAATTCCGGACAACTCATAGCCAACACAGATGGTCTCTGAACGTGTGGCGAGCAATTTTGCGAACCCATGTCATTGGACCATTCTTTTTTGACCAGCGTCTAACTGGAGCAGTTTATTTAAACTTTTTAACAAACACTCTAGAAGATGTTAGGCGACATTCCTTTAGCTACACTTCGAAGAATGTGGATGCAACAAGATGGTGCTCCACCTCACAATACTACTGGGGTTTGTCAATTTTTACACGAAACTTTTCCCAACAGATGGATTGGGCACAGAGGACCAGTGCTTTGGCCTTCAAGGTGTCCAGATATGACAAGTTGCGACTTCTTTTTATGGGGATTTATAAAAAGCAAAGTTTATGTTACACCACCAACTATTGCGGAAGATATGCGGCAGCGCATTACAGTATCATTTCAAGAAATTACGCCAAACGTGCTGACCAATGTTGAACAGTCTTTTAAAAACCGAATTCGTTTGTGAATTAATCAAAATGAAGGACACTTCGTGCAATTGATGTAAATCAGCAGTCTAATGCCCATATGCATAGTCGATCGCCAGCGACATGCCAGAGATTCGTCATTCGCTGGACGATATTCCAATGCACAGTCGTTTGCCAGCAAAGTCAAGCATGCGCATTAGTGACACTTTTGGCGAAGCGCCGGAAAATTGCTGGAGATTGCCAGTAGCATCTCCAGCGTTTCTCCAGAAAGCAAATAGCCTATTTTTATTGTGTTTTTGAGATTGTTCCAATAATGGATCATTATTTTAACATGTTGTATAACGCAGAGATATTTCTGATCTAGATATACTCACACCTATACAGGGTTATTCACAAACGGTGACCAAAAATGAAACCTAGTATTCTTTGGTGAATTTTAAGGGGTCTATCGTATAAAGTTTTTTTTAGGGCACTTAAAAAGATACAGGGTGTTAAACTTAAAAAAATATTTTAATTTTTTGAAATAATTTGAAATTGGGCACATGTATTTATGTAAACATTGTCCAAATTCTGAGGCATTTTCCGAAAATTTAGATGCTGCAGTGCTAGAGATACAGGGTATCGGTGGCATATTTTTCTAAATTAAATAATACGCCACTGCTTTACGGTCATCAATCATGATATTTTCGAATTCATCTTTCAGTTTTCTACTAATTACTACTCTTTTAAGTTTTTCAAACAAAGTCTGATTTTCGAATAAACTTAAAAATCGAACTGAAACACACTTCGATATTCGAATAAAATTCACTTTAAAATTACATAGTACCTATGCTGCAATAACAACTTTGACATTTTGAGCAGTTTGAAAAAAGAATAAATAATGCTTTTCATGAGATTCAAGCAACAATAAATTTCGAATTACATTTTCCTTACTAAAAAGATGTTGCGCCTGTTAGCGAACGGGGTGCGGGTTGAGGAAAATGTGGAACAAAAATAAATTAATTTGAAGATTACCTGGTATTCCCGGAGAGCGTCTTCTTCAAAGGGACCCCTTGGTGACTATCTGAAGCTCTTCCGGAACAGGTGGTATGAGGTGGACTGTATAGGTGAGGAGGCGGAAACGTGGATGCGGAAATTTCAAGCGAAAAAATATTACCTGCTCCTATTAAAACGAGGATACCCGCCGGCGACTCAATTAAGACTACTTAAACGCCAGAGTGAGCGCGTCAGTGCCCTCTGGCGAAGAAAGTATCAAGAAAAATAAAAAATAATAATAATAATGAGTAGGTACTTATTTAAATAATGACGCGTGGGCGTGAACAACGCCTGTGTTGATATTTTTGTTCATTTACTCAAATAAAATCATTAAAATGATGACTAATGTGGTTAATTGTAAATGTTGTAAATGTAAAACAGATTGTATTTTGAAATATTTTAAACAAGAATTTTCAACAAAGAAAAGAAATTTTCTCATATAATGCAGATCCTATGGATGACAATGTATAGATATACCCTTTACAGTTATACCTTGATGTACCTATTATAATTATTTGTAGATAGTCTGTGGAGTCTTAAGAGGATACGATCAGGTCACTGTTAGTCGTGTAATTGAAAAAACTACTCTAGTATACCGTAAGAAAATTACTTAAATATTTCATAAATACGGCTTTCCAATTCCTAGGGTACCCTAATAAACAAATTACTTAAGATGTTTTATAACTACAGCTTAATATACTAGCAATTGCTATTAACGCGGAAAAGGAAAATATTGTTTATTAGTCTTTTACTAAATGTAATTGTAGGGTACCACTACAACCCTTTAGATAATTATGTTTTAACAATAATTTATGTGATACAAACAACTATACAGGGTGAGTCATTAATAATGGTACACAGCTTAATGGCATATTGTTAAAGTCAAAATATAGTGATTGAGCCAAACATGCCATAATCAATTATTGCTCCTTTTCTTTCTACAGGGTGTTAAAGTTGAAAAAATATTTTCTTTTTTTATCTATATTTTAAGTATGTATGGACCGATTGTTTTGAAAATTTGTAGTTTTACGTTTTTTGAGGAGGCAAATATGAATATGCAAAGAGTGTTGGGGTCACGTCTAGAGTGCGCTAGTTATACTGTCCTATTAATGTAAAAATCTGTCTAACTTTTTATACAGGGTGATTCAGTCATAATGTCATTAATTTTAAGAGCAGATAGAGAAAAATGAGTATAATACGATGGCGTGATTAAAAAAAAATTAAATGCATATTTAAGCTGAAAAAAAATATTTTCAAATCATTATTTAACCCCCTTTTCAGGCTGTTACTGACCGGCTGATGTTCACAATACTGTGCACGGCTACGATGTGAACAAGGTACCCTAGATGCAATGTTGCCATATTTATATATTTTCCCTCATATAAAGACAATAAA